TGTGTGTGTGTGTGTGTGTGTGTGTGTGTGTGTGTGTGTGTGTGTGTTGTATTTAGGACCTCAACACAAGTCTTAATGGCAGGCAGTGATAGTTAATACATTTTTTGGCACTCTTTGACGAAACACTCTTTTTGAGGCTTGTTGTTAATACAACAATACTTAAAGCTGCATCATTTGTGTGGCCACTAGGGGGCAGCAAATCACAGAAACAAGTTGACGCATACTAAGCTACCACCTTATAAAAATGTTGCACTTCTCAGCTGCAGATGCACAACTCTGTTGGCTGCATTGTTTACATCAGCTTACAGTCTTCCTCTCCTCTTTTATTGGTGTGTTACTACCCTTTACAGCACTTTACCACCACTAACTGAGAAAATCTGGTGCGTCTTGTGTAGTATCTTTTATATTATGGAGATACCATGATCTCTGTAGCCTCTGCTAGCATTTGCAGAAAGACCACAAGAATCAGTTTGTTAATTGTGTGTTCGTTTTTTTTTCCCTTTACACACAATGCGTCGCCACTGATTGTTCACAGAGACGGACCACTCCCCATGATCTTTATGCCAGATTGAATTTATCTCTATCCTAAAGAACTGTTTAAAGTAAAATGATGCATTTTGGCGAAAGGTACAAACATCCTGTCATTTACGGTAAAATTTATTTTGGAAGGCAACAGGGTGGACACACAAAAAGACTGATGATATTTCAAGTAGGCTGCCAACTCATCCATTCACAGGGAGTGCAGACTCTCTGTTGAGGCTCAAGTCAGGTGAAGAATCAGAACCACAAGAACTCAAATGCAAAAAATAACATGCTGGTACATTCTATTCTTCTTTCAAATTGTGGCACTAATAAACACCTTAAAAAAGTGGTACAGTGCAAGAGGTTTCTCTGATTAGATGCATGAAATCTAACCGAGTTCATGGTTTGGTGACTCCCTGCTCTGGAGAATGTAGAAGGAGTCTTCAGAGTCTTGAGTCTTTCTTCCTTCCTTCAGATTGTGCATTCAGCAGCTGAGCTGGGCTATTGAAGTTATTGATTTGCCCTTAACTCCCTTACTGTTGCCCTTCCCTCCCACACTATGCTGAAACATGATGTAACGATTAGCAAACAGTGGAAAAAGAAAATTGACTTTTTTTTATTCTCTTTACTATGGTGACCAAACGGCTCCATTACTCTGCTGGCTGTTTACATTTTTGCAGTGATCCATCAGTAAAAGGACAGCATTTCTTACTTCTCCTGTTGATATAAAAAAGATGTTCAAATAATATCAAAGTTTTTTGTGTGTATGAGGAGAGGATTTTTTTTTCACTTTTTGAGAATTTACAGACTTAAACATTTACAAATTGAAAGCACTTCATATGTAACCTTAACAGCCTTTTCATTAAGATTAATTTCGGGATAGTTATTAGTATTAATAAAATATGCTCCAACTTAATTTCAGGTGAAGAAGTTATAAATGAATACACATCCTTTCATGCCATCTGTTAACACTGTCTCTACAGAAATAAGTCAATGTTATTACATATTTATTAATCGTCATAATTCCTCATCCTCTCTCTTTCTGAGGTGATTACTGTTGATCACTGGATGACAAATAATTAACAGCTATTCTGTTTGCAGGAGCACTTAGCAGCCAGCATGGTATTTTTCACTTGTGCAAGAGTGTGAAATACCAACTTTTAAGGGTTGACACGTGGCATGCAGTTGAAACATGCAACAAAACCATAAATGACAGCATGCTAATATTTTCACAAGGTTCAAACCAAAAGAAGAGGGCGGTAGCTGCTCAGATGATGACATGTATTTGTTTCTGCTTTCCATTCGCTGCTGTGAAAGATGTCTAGTTGTGCTCAGATAGCAACTCGACTCTTTGATCATTTTGAAACTGCTTTTCACTTCCTCCACTATGATGTGTGTGCATGCAAGTGTGAACAGAATGCTCTGTGTGCTGTTTGTGTTTTGCACAAACAGGCAAGAAACAACTATTATATTGCAGTTTCTTTTTAATTTGTTCATTGTGTTTCTTTAAAGCAGTAAATAACTGAGCGGGTCTGATTTCTTCTTAGGCCTCGTGTGTTAACCATCATCATTACAGTGTTGGCACGAACTTGGATTCTATGCTACGGCATTTGTCACTCATAGTGACAGGGATACCACCGATAACACATGGAAAAGGGAAGGAAACATAATGTAATGTTCCAGACAGTTAGATGGGGTTAGCACATTTTTAAGCTTGTTAGTTTTAGGCATGTATCAGTTGGTTAACCCACCGTTTGTGCATGTGTACAGCAGTGAATGACCTCATTCAGGGTGACGTCATTGCTGACATTATCAGGCTGGAACGGCAACAGCCCAGAGAGTAACAACACGAAACTTCTAATGACTGTTAGAATGTGTCAAGTTAAAGAGCAGCTTTACCAGCATGAAGTATGCCAAACCAAATTGGGCTCTAGCTTAATTTGAGACTGTGACGGATTTAGAATGAATTGCCTGCTGGAATTTTTTGTGTGTGTGTGTGTGTGTGTGTGTGTGTTGGGGGGGGGGGGTGTAGTATTAATTGTTAAAACACTCAATCAAGTAAATTAGCACTGAGGTTGCAGCAGTAGGCCTGATCACAAGTCTCTAATAAGATTGCGACCAGTTGAAGTGCAAGACTGCTCAACATTGAAATACGTAATTTAGAGGATAAGATTGTATTTAAAGAACGTGGCAGGTTAGTGAATGTCTGATTGACTTTTAGTAATGCAAAAACATTCAGCATCCATCAAGTGTCCTGTGTAGCGTTTTCATGAGCAAGACACTGAACACAAGTTGGGGGCATTCTGGGAAATTAATTAAATAAATAAGCACAGAATAAGTTGATGTTGCCAGTTTTTTTTTTTTTTTTTTTTTTTTTTTTTTTGAAGGCGAAGTAGTTCTCCCTTGCTTTCGAAAGACTCCCTTGGAAAATCAATGTATACTGCCATCATGTGGTTGAAATAGGGCGTCACAGACCATGTTCAGCTGCATGCCATCCACTGTACAAAAAAAGCATCAATCTAAGCACAGAAAAGCAACAGACGGAGAGAAGACAGATGTTTAGACTTGAATGAATATACTTACTGTATGTGTTTTTATGTATTTCCAGAGTAACCAGAGGCAGAGTCAGTCCAGTCAGTCTCTGTCCACCCCGGTGGTCTCCATCAACACCCCCAGTCTGCCTCACCAGAGTCTGGTCTACTGCGGCATCAGCTCTGCCTACAACAACGGTACCTGATGATTATTAGAATTTGTGCTGTGTTGCTGTCATTAGTGTAGCCCCCGAGGTCCCCAAGACATTGCAATGTTGCTGTTTTCCATTATTTATTATTTAATGGAAGGTTTGATCAGCTATTCTTAACCACTCTGTGTGCTATCATGCTCTCATGTCTCCTCTTAGATTACTCCCTGAACAGTGCAGACCTGTCGGGCTTCAGCTGCCCTGCAGGCCCCTCTTTGGGCTCCATGACGGCCTGGCAGCAACAACAGCTGGGCTCACTAGGGTAAGTACCTGACACAGTTAGCCTTTATCTCTTAATGACGGATAACATGTTTACAGACTCACAGTTTAACACAGTCTATTTACACTACGTTAAAATCGCCTGACATATATGAACAAAACAGATAAACATGAGAGGACAAAGATTTAATGTGACGAAGAGAATGGCTACTGAATTAAGTAATAAGTCTGACATTTTGTCAAGTGATTGGCTACTGATGGCAACTTCACACTGACAAGTTCGGTGGAGGAGGATGTATTTAGATCCTTGACTTAAATTTAAGTAGCAATATGACACTGTAAAAAGTCAATTACAAATTATAGAAAAATGTAAAACTGAAAGGAGGGTTTTAGTTAAGTTGCATTATTAGATTTTTGCTAATGCATTAATTAAGTATTTGGGCAAGTATTTGGGCAAGGTGGCACATTTTAACCTCTTGATGCACTGCAAGATGGGTTGTTTACTCTATTAAAATAGATAGTATCTTATTAGCTCATATTTTTTATTTGTGAAATCAAAACTCCTCTTATCTAATAAACAAAGTGGAGTAAAAGTTAAATATTTGCCTTTTGGTTGTTGTGAAACTGAAACATAAAGTAACATTAAAAAAACAAATGCTAAGTACAAGTACCTCAAATTCGTACTTACCGGTAAGCACAGTACCTGAGTAAATATTCCACTACTGGACAAGTGTCAACATTAGCCAACCAGATAAGAAAAGCTCTCTTTTTCTGTCGACGGACCTGTTACTTTGACCAGTAGACGTCGCCATTACTCCACGGTCACAGCCTTAAATCATCCTCTCCCTCTGTCCCTCCTTCTGTAAAGGTCTGGAGGCCCCAATCTCTCCATCAGCACCAACCACAACGTCAACATCAAAGCCGAGCCAATCTCCCCACCCCGCAACCACCTCAGCCAATCAGGGTACATGACCCATGCTCATCCCCACTCATCCACCAGAGCAGAGATGGGGAGGTCTCCTGCAGACAGCATCAGCTCCTCCTGCAGCTCCCACGAGGGTGGCAGCGACCGGGAGGAGCAGCATCGGCTAGACTTCCACCCTGTGAGTCGGTCAGAGGGCAGGGAGGGTCAGACGGTCAAACGAATGCGGATGGACAGCTGGGTGACATAGACCCTGCAGTCACAGGGCGACACAACGCCGGGCCAAACACAGGAGGGACACTGTTATGCAAAATGATATGTGGATTGATGTGTTCTGTTATTTCTCTTAAGTTATCTTTTTTATTTGGTGTTGAGATTTTTCAGAAGGGTTGAGTGAAATTAGCGTGAAAATTCTGGATCCGTCGGAATCATCTCATCATCTTTCACAAAATCGTACTTAAAACATGACATGCCGTCCTTTTCGAATATTCATCATTCAAGCATCACAGACTTTTATTGTGGGTCCAATTGCAGTACAATCTGTCATTGTATTATTATCATCCAGTGGGATACAGTACTGCACACAGAAGAATGGTGAGACTAGTGTTGTCTGTCAGTCTCATGGCTTCAGGACTATGATGGTAAAGCAGTGAAGTGCTTCTGGATGTCTCCCACTGGGTGTCACCCAATTCATTTCTGATCTTCTCAGGGTTTCAAACATTGAACAAGTCTAACGTGAAAGCAATACTCCCTCCCTATCATCCCTGCGTCTCCTCTTTATAAAAACACTTATTTATATCAGCCAAAGCAGTATGCTGTTTTTATGTTGTTTGTTTTTATATTGTGCACAGAATAAGACAATATTTCATTCAGATTTCAAACTGAAAGCCATGGACACTTGTTCGGTGTGTGCTACCCAAATATGTCGTTATTGTTTTGTATATACTATCGTTAATATATATATCACTTTTGGTGTAACTATATATTGTTGGTCTGCCTATTGTATCTGCCTGGGTGAAATATGACACCTCCAACAGATTTTACAAAAGTCTATTTTTGTGGATGATTCAAACATTTACAAAGTGTTGATTGTCCTTTCTTTCCTCATCAAGTGTCTCTCGACGTTTCACCTGTTTTGTGAAACCAACAAAAGTAGATTGCACTCTAGAAAATACTTTTTATTAATGGGCAAAACAAATCTAGCTCTTCAGAAGTTGTTTTACAGAAGGGACGTATATTATCAAAGAGAAAGATGCAAATGAAACTGATAAAACTTTCCGATTTTGTCCGACAGCCTCAGCAGGGCCGAATCTGGCCCGAATCTGGCCCAACTGATAAAGTTAGGTGAGGACACATGAGCTCATACGGGACATGATGAAATCTCAATTGCAGAAGGAATCTCATGTCACATTAACAAAAGCGAAACACGCAAGTAGAAAAGTTGCACTTATGTCATGCGCGTTTGTGCATGAGCTTACCTCCTCTAGTGTGTATTTAAAGGTAAGATGAAGGATTTAAACTTAAAGAAGCAAACAAAAGGACATTTGAACAGAAGTCCATACCTGATGAGTATTTACAGGGTTGGGATGTGTTTCTTCTTATTTGACTTCAATGCATTGTTTTTATAATAAAGATTAAGACAATTACAATGTATGAGTGCTAAGGGATAGGTTGGAGAAATAAAACGTCCTGAGGTTCTTGGAGATGGGAATATACTGAACGGTTGTGTGACTGAACAGTTCCTGATTGACTCTGATAAAATGGAACTTGTGGGAAAGTACGAGGCACCACATGCGGTGAGGAGTGCAAAAGCTGCAAGTAACCACAGCGGCTCCAATGAATGATAGCGTGGACAGAAAGGTAGAGACAAAAAGAGCAGAGGGAAAGTTTTGTAGCACATTCACTTGAGTTCATGAACAATTACAGTAAGAAAGGCAATGTCATTTCATAAGCAATGGAGTATTTTAATGATACCAGCCTTTAAACAAAGGCGTCTGGTATCTGGATGTGCCAGAAGCAGCGGTGACCCTAAATAGAAAATGTTGTGACAAATGCAGTGGTGCAAATTCCGACTTAGAGGAAGTCATGGTGGTTCATGGGAATGCAAGAATGAGACGAGAAAACAGAAAAGAAGTTCTCTGTTGTGTGTCAATTTGGCCGTTTAAACACAGGAAGGAGACATTAATAACATCAGTATGTACAGGATTTGATTGTTAAGACTACAATAGCCTGCTGCCAACAGACAGGAACTATGTAGTTCACTGAGGATGTATCGGCTGCTCTGATATCTGTATAAATCACATCTGCTTTAAGCCACGTGTATCAGGGGTGACTGTGGCTCAGTGGAAGAGCAGGGTACTCCTTCAATCAGAGGGTTGGCAGTTCGACCCCTGGCGCCGCTAGTCCAATGCCGACGTGGCCTTGGGCAAGACACTAAACCTCAAATTGCTCCCGTATGGGTATGAATGTTACAGTCCTGAGGGGCAGGTGGCACATTGCATGGTAGGGTGAATGGTGACAAGTAGTGTTAAAGCATGGTCGGAAGATTAGAAAAGTACAGACCATTTACCCATCAAGAGTTAAGATATAAAAGGAGTGAGAGGTTGAGGATTCAGAACACGCGGTGGCAGTTTGATGTGTGAGGTGTAATGTGTAATCTGTCTGGTGGCATTATGGCTCATTCACTGCCACGAATAAATGATGATCCAGGATAGTGGGTATAGAGATTGGTTGTGAGTCTCGGAGAAAAGACAAGTAATTAATTTTTTTCCTCAAGCAGCACCGATGAAATAAATAGTCCGACAGAATATTATTTGATACGATTGTATGTCTGTTATACATTTGGCACAGTGGTCAGTGATTAAAGCACACACTTTAATGCTAACAGCAACGGGATTATACTAGTTCAGATAAAGAGAAAACCATGCAGGGCAAGGCCTCATTCACTCAGTACACTGAGGTGGAGGGATTAAATGTGCCAAGGTTAATGGGAATGATGGGAGCAAAACAGCTGTTTGAGAAAAGGATAAGGTTGTGTGAGCCACAAGAGTGCTCTAGAAATAAGTTTAGCAAATAAAATGAAGGATTTTTTTGAGGGGGGTATTCATGGTGGACATATCAATAGGACAAATGGTTTTACTTTTAAAGTAAACTATGGTAAAGTTAAATAGCACAAACTTGTACAAAACATGCAGTGCATTAGGCCAATTGTATGATAATATACAATAATTTCCTTTGAAAAGCTAAGCTTCAGCCTACTCGAATTATCTCCATTTTCACATCTTTCTTGAGTTTTATTTATATTATTTATATGTGGTGCACGTGCTTGTGGGCAGGGCTTTTATTTTGAAGGTCTTAATCTAACAGAGGGTGAGTCTGCTTTGCTGTGTTGACGCTCCCACGGAGAGGAGGAAGTCTAGCAAAGCCACATATCACGATCGATGGTCGGAGCGGAATCGTTTTTCTAACCCCAATGTTTAGCAGGCATGAGGTGAAAGAGAAAACAGTCGTCAGAGGCTCTTAACAGCGGGGAAAAAGGTACAAGTTCAACCAGTACTTTGTTTTTCTAGGGGGAAGCAGGAAGGTAAGGAGTTTAGTTACCTGTGGCGGTCTTTTCCGTGGGGCTCGTCGGGTGAGCCTCCTTCCTGTCCGGAAACATTTCCGGCGGACAGGTGAGAAGCCTCGGAGACCCCATTTGAACTCCTTGTAACATTGAAGTACCTGTAACCTCGTGGGAGCTCCTGCTTACATGTGTATGGAAAGAGGCATGATGTTTAAACAATGTTCTGTTTGGTTTTGGCAATCCATGCACCGAATTGCAAAACTTGCGCAACAGGATATTTTTTTAAGTTTCCATGTCGACAAGAATAAACAAACAACTTTTTTGAATAGAAGATAGGCTGGTCTGGACCACCAGGTCTCCAGTAAGACACGATGGACGCAGCGAGAAGTTGCACCAGTGACGTTTGATGTCAATGTTTTTACCCCCCATCGACTCACTTAAGATTTTGAGATGCATTAATATCAATAATATTTTCGGATGAGCAGGATAATATCAAATTCAAGATTTGTTTTACATGGAGACTGGTCTGGTCTTTTCTTAGGGAGCAGCGGGTCACTTTTGCAGGCAGTGCGTGGATACTGTGGCGTTTCAAGGTGCCGTCTACAGGATTCATTTTCGAAGAATTTCTAGGTTAAATAACCAACTTTCACTAACGTCTTTGTCAACTTAAAGAGGGTGTTTCCATGATATTATAAACCCACGTGTCTTGTTTATGCAGCGTACAAACACTTGAAACCACCAGACTGACAAACACAAGTTTGAAATCCAGTGGAACTCTTGATTTTTCATTGAAGCGAGAGTTTGTTTTTTTTTGGGGTTTTTTTGGGTTGTGTGTGTTCTGCAGTAAGCTTCAGCCGTCCACTTATCAAAGTGTGGAAACTACCCGCTGTGAAAGATTTTCAGGAAATAGCTTCTTGTCTTGTTCTGACAGGGCTGTGATGCGGTTGCTCAACTTGTCCCAACAAACTGAGAAAATAACACCACAGAAGCAACGAGGTCTTTATAATTGCTACCTTATCAGTTTTGTATAGAATTATCTATTATTTGTTATCACAATGAGAATTCACACAGAGGTCATTTCAAATCCATCCATTTTAGGCAGACAAAGTGCTTGCTTGTTCATCTTTAGGTCTCTAAAAGAAAAAGTTGTGTTTAACAACGGATTAAGCCAGTATCACTTTACAATGCTACCATCCGATTTTCTATCAGTAAAAATCTGTGTCTTTCTATATTGGAATGGTGGTGACCCTATATATGAATGGGAGTAGAAATGCAGTAGACAGGCATGGTGTTCTTACATGTGTCAGCCTGCTCCTGCACGTGTAATAACAGTGGCTGAGGAGCTGGCCGCATGCAGAAGCTCATCATTTTCCCACAAAGATTGGTGGCAATACAGACCCAAATGTATATATTTTCAGTTTATGTTCCAGTACCTCAGTAATGCGTATTATGAGTGGATGCATGTCATAATATATCATTTTATTACATAGAATTATACACCTCTTTTTTTTTTTTTTGTACAGAATATGATTTTTTATGTACCTGGTGTGTGTTTGTTCTCTTCTGTCCTGCTCCCATGTAATATATTTCCGTCACTTTATACAATCAACAGATGCTATTAGCATGCTTACTTTCTTTTTTTTTTTAGCTTAGTTACTTCACAGCACTATATAGTCGTGGTCATTTTGTGTTTTCCTTCATAAGTTGTTTCATCCATTATCGTGTTCGGTTTAAGGCCGTGTTTGTTTAACGCCGAGACCTTTTGGAGCTCTGCGCCCCTGGCTGCTCGTACGTCCCGATCTACGAGACCAAATCTAGTTTCTCTTTACGTAAGAGAGTCAGATAAACGACTAAAATGTGATGCGAGGGAGGTCAGTGAGACGGGCTCTCCGGACAAGGTTGTCTGCAGAAAGGATGGATGCCTCGACAGCGTCACCTCGACCTTGGCCGTCCTTTTTTTGCGTCACAGTCTTCACAAGTCCACGGATTGGGCTGGCTGGTCTGCTCTGGAAGAGGACCGAATTTGCCAATTAAACTTGGAAAAAGATCACACATTTTAAATCAGGATTTGCTGAAAGTGTAGTTCTCCCCATTAACAAATTGGAATGGAGGCTTTTCTGACCGGCCAGCTGTGGAGTCTGTGCATTCACATAGTATCTGCTTAGTCCAGGTTAAGTCTGGCTGACCCCCCCCCGCCTCTGGCTTGACTGGCAGTTCAAATGAATAATATTGCCCAGTCAGCTGTGTGGCCATCTGGTTGTATATCTCCATCACATACTTACACCAGGGCCCTGCTTTATCAGCAGTGGACTGTTAATCTTTTTGGGACCACATCTACGTTACACAGTTTCAGTTTAGCTCATTTTCTAGTCAAAACAAAGGTCCAGTGACGCTCCAGTAGTACGGTACACATGGTTACTGTGGTCATCTTGTGCTCCCATGATGCTCTCTGTTAATCCTTCTAGCTGGTGTGAAAGTCCATAACCGGGCTGTGAAGGATGTTGGGACTTATGATTTATTGATTGTTTGACTCTGCAGTGTACAGAGCACTAAGCACTACAGTCTAGGTCGGTAACCAAACCAGCTAAAACATCTGCTAAACGTTTCTCCACTTTGCTTAGTTTGACTTTGACCTCTTTTCTGTTGATCCTATCAACTTATATTAAACTATAGTTTAATATAAGTTGATTGTAAGATGCTCTGAGTGTGAGTAGCGAAACACCCTGCAAACAAAAATGCAACGACGCGGAGATATGTAGGATATGTATGTACACCCTGTTGGAATGTTTTTTTTAACTGGTTTGACTGGGACCGGGTAAAAGACATTCCAATGTCTTGTTTTCAAACTGGAACTACAGACTGGCGCTCCTTTCGGGGCTCCTTTTCTGAATTACCAGGTCACCGTGGCATTGGTCCGAACTAATCACACAGTTATTCAAAATAGCAGTAGAAGAATCATGGCTATATTTAATAGTTTTAATATGGAAAAAACAACAATTGTGTGCCCCAGGCTTCATCACTTTAAATCCTGTCTCAATTACCTGCTGTTGTCAAAAAATCTAATGAAAGGTTGAACAGAACATGAACACTTTATTGAGTACAGAAAGATGTTGGTTAGAGCCATGTTTTAGAGCCAGTGAAGGTTAAACCTTAAACCTGCATTCATTGATTGTTTTGGCCACTTGGGGTGTAGCGTAAACAAGCTACAACATTGGCATATTGAAACCTTTATAATGTTGATGTGGTGCACTTCTTCACACACTCAGCTGACCCAGAGCAACATTATCATGTATTTGTCCTATTATTTCTCACCTGTCAAATATACACTCTCCTTTTTGATAATGCCTGTCTGTTGTTGGGCTCTGGGCAGGTAACGGGTAAAGTGGGCCGTTAGCGTTTCCTTCCTAAAAACAGCTTCCTGCTGCGGCCGATGCTTTCACACAACGTAGTTCTGCGTTGGGTAAAAATGTCTTCAGTTGTCACCATGAGCAGCCACATTCATTTAACACATCCTCATTTGCTCCATTGTAAATAGAACATTTATTGATTAGAGATGCTTTAAAGCTGCTATTTTTTTTTTTTGGGATTTTGACAATATTCCAACTCCAGTGGTAGTATCAAAGACGGCACTGTGGCGGACAGAAGGCCCTCTGCTACACTCGAATCCGTCAGTTGTGATTGGATCACAAAAGTAGTGAATATGGAGCTCTAGAGAGATACAGATCTCTTGATACGCACCTCCTTCATCTGTGTTGTTAGATCAGGCTGTGCAGGATGTGGGTGAAATTCATATATCAGACCTCAGCCACATTGTTTGGAAATGTAAACAAAGTTTTTGCCAACTGAAATCCAAATACACACCTCCTCCTCATAGATCGCTCCGCTACCTACGAGCTCCAGTGAGTCTTTATGTGATGGATGGGGAATAGCTTGTCACCCCAAATTACATTTAATTGGGTACATTCATGTAACTGCCCCTGAGTTCAAGATGAGTCGTCAAAAACAGTTTCATATTTTGCACTTAAAAAAAAGAGGGATTTTGATATGAGAATACTCCCCCAAAAAAAATATATTCAATTTCACTGTGGCTTTAAAGTTTAAAGTTGACTCAAACCTCAGAATGTCGTAAACCTTTCAAGACTGTGTCTGTTGAAACACGAGTGGACAGGTAGATCACGACAAATTTGTTTACTTTAGACACATTTTTCCTCTCAGTCGACCGTCACTTGAATAACCGCGCTGCTGTCAGTGGCCATCATCCTTTTTCCTCTCTCACGCTGTCAGCGATCCATCTGATCCTTGTATTTGGGTCAGGCTGGAAGATTCCGAATTTGGTATATCTGAGTCCTTATATTTCTAATTTTCTCCAAACTAGATATAGAGATAAGTGGTTGTAGACTAAATCCTGGGGGAAATACTTCAGCCCACCTCTAACTGTGCATACTAAAATCTAAAACATATTTCAGTGAAACTCTGTTTATGCTGTACTTTGCTATCAGTGTCTGAGATTTCACTTCTTGGCATCATCTCTGCGTGTTTTGTAAACACTGATTCTTCTCTGGTTCTTTAATCTGCCACCTCGCCGCCTTCCCTTCCTCCACTTCAGCGTACCAGCTGATAACATGGCCGCAGTTAATGGCGACGCATAGTGTGAGGCCAGTAAGAGGCTTATGGGGGCCGTTGCTTTACAAGATCAGGTTTCGTCAGCAGCAGCTCTTGGGCAGGTACTGCTGCTGTTTGTATGGCAGGGATCAGCTGCAGAGATGACAGCTTTAAAGCATTAATGCCACATCACAATATGCACCGGCTGCTTTGTATACCTGTTTGTTTGTTTGTTTGTTTGGTCATCTCATTTTAAAATAGATTGTTTTAGATAATGGGAGTGACGCTGCAGTGAGTGAACTGTGAATGCATGACTGATGAGTCAGCTGAATACACACACACCGTTTCAGGAACAACGAGCCATAAAAGACATTGTAGTGGCTCAGTCACGCCATGTTTCTACCGATAATCCCATTTGGAAAACCTCGAAAAGAGTGGACAGAATACCTGCACAGTATAATCAATGCAAAGCAGTTCATGAAATACTTCCTCCGTCACCCCGAGTCACATGTAATATAGTCAAATATATGTTTCTTTTTTTTTTTACTATCTATCGTTGTATTTATTTTAACCTGCGAGAGCACATATAGGTGTTGATTTAACTGAAAGCTCTAACCTGTGAGTCTCGTGTGGCAAATGAAGTAACAAGTGACATTTTTAACTGAATCTTAAATAACACTTCACACACACTTTGTATTTACTGCATAAACAAGGCAGCATAATGTACAGCAGTAGTGTAAAAAAACGGTAAGAACGAGATGATCTCATGTCAATCTCAGTTTTTCGACCACATCTCATGGTCTGGAAAGATTGTAGGAGCATTTCAGTGGAGCCTACATTATTTACCCAAAGGTCACAAATTGTCTTTGATATGTAAGTTTATGAAAAAAAGTCATTTCTAATTAGAGGGGGAAAAAACAATTAGCAGTGTTATTAAATATTACACACATTCTCCCAATCGTGTTTGCCTTGCAGTTTTTCTTTATAACACTACACGCTATAAATGTAACATATGACAACGTATAGTACAGCACATGCTGTGGGTGTAGTTTAGGGCGTTACGACCGTGTTGGTTGACGGGTTGCTTCGTTTTGATTGACAGTGGGCGGAGCCGTTTCTATCTGGTGCGTATATTTCGTGGCCGCTCTCATTTCGAATGAAATGCTCTTTTAATGAGGTTACATACGGCTGCATGAGTCGCATCTGAAAGACGCAGCTGATCTTCAGGACCTTTGCGGTCGAGATGGTCCGCAGTCTTTCCCACAGATTGTGTGTGTTGCTCGCTAACTAACGTATGTTATTTATGGGTCCACGGTCAAAAAACAGCTCCATCCAAAGGAGAGAATTGATGTTGTCATACATCTAATGAAGGAATGAAATGACGATAATTATATGACTTCACTTATAATGCTTGACACAAAGGGAGAGTATAGTCTATGCATATCCCTTACTAATCATAATTATGGTCTGGTCTGTGGCCCACTGTAAGAGAATACATAGATACTGATTGAAAGACTTCCTCTCTAGACCCTGGACCATCCTTCACCCTCCTCACCGTACTTTATAATGTTCACTGCTGCTCATTTGCCAGGAAGTGTTCAGAGTGTTTTACAGTCATGTGTCCTTTTAAATCTAAGACAATTACCTGAACACTTGAATGGAACAGAAGCAATATTAATATTATACATATTAATATTAACACTTGTTCCTGCTGGTCAAAATGTCTGCTGTGAAAAAGAGTCTCTATGTGAAAAATATTATTATCTGACATTTTACTGATTACGTCCTTGCAGTAATTGGAATTTATTTCAGCACTACATGTTCTAATCTGGTTGCTGCAGTGTGTTGCATGTTCTGTATTTCTGATAAGAGTTTTTTTTCTTTTTCTTTTATGGGTGCATGAAATGGAGTTCAAAGAGGTAAAATGTCCTCCTGAAATCTGCTGTCATTGGACCCAGAACAATGATTTAATATTTTATCACTGTCTTTGGGCAACACGAGTTGATCATCAACCTTTCAGCAGACTCTTTACATTGATGTTTGCTGCAGAATTGTCCTTACCTCCCAGTTCCCTTCCTGATTTTTTACTCTTTAGTTTCTATTCCGAGAGCTGATAATGTGATTTCTGCTGTTAATATGCAGCATGCTCTGATTCTGACATTAGCATCACAGCAGACTCTTGTTATCTAAGCATCTGTTCCTGAATTGAGAGCAGGTGTTGATTGCTTAGAGATTTGATGTGAAGGTAACCACTGAGTATTAGTGAAGGTGATTATGGATGCATATGGAGTGATGACCACACGTTTCAGGAATGACTCACAAACAATTCAAGTACTTAAAGGAATAGTTACATATTATTGAAAATGCGCATATTTCATTTCTTGACTAGAGTTGGATGAAAAGAGGATCCGGTCTCATGCAGATAGCAAGCTTAGCTTAGTTTAGCTTATCTTAGCTTAGCATAAAGACTGGAAATGGGGGGGAAACTGCTAACGGTAACCTCATATACACGTTATATCTCATTTGTTTAAAAGTGGAAAAGTGACACCTTGTGGTTTCATGCTGGGTTATGTGTGGGACTATTTCTTGGCCGAGTGCATTGACAAGCGACCAGCGGAGACTGCAGGAAGTCTCTACGCCTGCGTAAGAAATAGTCCCACCTTCAACTACTACTTCATTTTGGTTTTCACTTTGGTTTATGTACGTATTTAATAAACAAGATATAACTTGTTTATTCATGAACTTTAGAGGCAGATTTCAGTTACCTTTTTGGACAGAGAAGGGCTAGCTGTTTCCAGTCTTTATGCTAACCTAAGCTAACCGGTCGCTGGCTGTTAGCTTCACATATAAAATGCAAGAAAGCAAATATTATTAGTAAGCATATTTCCCAGAATCTCAGAGAGTCTCACTATTGATTTAAGTCGCCTTCAAATCAAATAAATTGTTTTCATTTCCACATACACACAGTCATCCTTTGAGTGGTTGTAATTATTTGATGGCAGATCAAGACCTACTAGAGCTTTATTGCATGTTTGTAACAATTCATGTGAGTTACTTGTGGAAAAAACAGAAGAATATTTTAGTCTGACTGAGAATTTCTTAGCCAATTTTTAATGTGTGGAATTGTAAGAACATGAAACAGACACTGATAAATTGCAGCTCTTGTCAGTTGCAGCTGTGGATATGAAAGTGACTTACTGTCCTCCCTCTTTGTCTTTTGTACTCTAGCTGCCGGTGATGTCCAGATCTTAGACGCCGACTGAAACTCCCTCCCATCATGGACTCCAAGAAGCCGGGCATGCTTCGGCATCTCCGCCAGAAGATGCTGCCACACCTCCGGCGAGGCAAGACGAGCCCGAGCAAGCATCTCGTTGAACTCGAACACACCATGGACCATCGGATGAGCTCCTCCGTTCCCGACATGCGTGACATGAGGCGGCAGTACGATACCGTCTCCTCCAGCTTGCAGGTCCAACAGTACACTTCTCCCACCTACAGCAGCCCCTCCACGCCACTTGTCGAGCCTGCTAGAGGCCTGGGAGGAGGGGGGAGTGGCCTGATGATGAGAGCAGCTGGTGGAGGAGCCGGGAGGAGTGTGCCTGCAGACTGCACGGAGTGGGCTTCCTCCCAGCAGTCATTCAGCAGTCTCTGCGTGGAAGAGAAGAGCTCTCCAGAGACAAACTACAGACCTGCCGGGGTCATGGAGCCCGATGAGCTGGCCCTGCCGGAGATGATGACCGTGTACAGCCCAGACCCCCCCTCTGTGGAAGCGTCCCAAGACAGCGCACAGGTACAGACTCTGCACTTGAAATGTTGAATCGGTATAAAAAAACCAACTGATCAGTCCCACAAACAAGTTTATATAATGCATTTAAGGTTTAAACTTCATGGGTGGTGGCGTTCAGAAAAATATTTTTGTTTCCAAACTTTGGCTTTGGTTTCATTTTATATTTAAGGTGTTTGTAGAATCATTAACAGTGAACATGACGGTAGAATAAGCTGGTATAGTATTTGTGTGCTGTGACATACAGGTAGAGGCTGAGTGAACTGGCTGGTTTGTGTACATTGGTGGGTGTTAGGTGTATTTACATTGGACACTTGCAAAGTTTAACTTGGAGGAGTAGATTAAACCATGAGATTATCAAATGAGAGGTCCCTGCAAAATCAATAGTCTCCAGCAGCACTGGACAAAATCCCAGTATGTGTTTTCATGGTCTCACAGCATGGTTGCCAAACTGGCATACTCACACTTAGCACTTACTTAGAGGATTGATATTTTTTTGTTTTAGGTTACTGTTAAGGGCAGAGAAAAGATCAATTAGATATAATCAGAAATTTTAAGAGGGCATATCTTAAATATCCCTTCTGACAATATTCAATGCCACCGTTTCACGTTGTGGTGATCCACAGCTGTTAATTCATCACAGACCACATAATATTATCTAGTCAGTCATGAGGTATAAAATCAGTAATCAACCGGTAATATCAGCGACCTTTCCATAGAGCCTTGTGATATGACCAATGCTCTCACATGGCCTGGAAAAGTACATTTTCAGGTTCTGCTCATTTCTTTAGATATAAATATTAACAGCTGTCAATGTGACGCATGTTAATATTTCCTTTATTTCAGACAAGACATGGAAAAAAAAGTTACAGACATTTCCTGTAGCATTATATCTACATCTAAGATCGGCATTTGAGACGTGTTGGTATTAAGTGTCCTCTTTCTCTATCTGGATGGTTATAGTGATCTCGGTAGGTGTCACTTAGCCTGCTCATGGACAACAGGTGGCAGATAGGCTAATGGTGAGCGAGTAGTAACTGAATTCATGAATGGATGAGTTACTGTTTGGCCCAAGTGGTGCTAACAGCCGAAACTTCACGTCTATCGCTAGCTCTAACATGACATCTGAGTCAGATCAACAAACTACATTCATTAATTGTTTTCAATAAATGAATGTAAGAAAGAATGTTTTTTTTGCTTTGCAGTCTTGTGTTGCTTGACAGTGACAGCAAATAGTGAATGTTGTCTTTTGACTTGACTTGTGATGACATGTAGAGTAAGCTCTTGAGTTAGGTACACATGACATGTTGCCATGGAATTTATACAGACGTTCATGTTCCCCTTATGAATTGTAATCCCTTTGTTTTATCTTTATTGGAAAGCTTTCAAATATACAAATATTGCAGACATATACTCAATATAATTGTACAGAGAAACAAGAATATCCATTTATATAGACAAATACATTGTTTTTATTACTTATTAAATTAATAAAATTGCGATAAATAAACTATATTACTAAATTATAATAAATAAAAAACATACGTTATTCTTCTTTAAGTAAATCCTTTTACATTTTGAAAGTTTATTTTCTTTTATATTCTAAATTAAAGAGATTGTAATATACTCTATACTATTATGTAATTTATAATCCCGTTGATTATCCCTTAGCTTTTCTTCGTGCTGATCAAAATATGTTTGTTTTTTTAATACTTTGCTTTGTGACCAAAATACCTTTTTACAACTGATATTGTCATTAACGTCAGCTGTACTTTGTGTTTTGGTGCTGATAGCAAATCGTATCATGCTGAAGCAACAAACTAACATCATACCTGCTAAACATCAGCATGTTTAGCACAATATCTGAATTACATTGTATTTTAACAATTCACTACAAGCAGTGATGTTGCAACATATGCACTTTCTCCTGTTTATTCAACAAGGGAATAATTCTATACCTTTTTTTTTACTATTTCATCAAAAACAAATTGAGTATTGTTCCTCATGGTTTAGAGTCTACAGGGAGTCAAAGGCTCAGAGTTGTAGTGGCTTTAAACTGAACAACAGGGCTGATTATTAGTGTGTTCAGTCCCCAGGATACAGGAATTTTTAATAAACGTTCAGACGATTTGTGCTGGTGGTAGAGTTAAGTTCCTGAAGCTTTCACCGATCAGCAGACTGAAACTTTTCTCTTTCATCAACTGGGAGTTTTAGTTTTTTTCAGAGTTCTAGTCATACATCACATGATAGAGTTATGAAATGTGTTGATCTTTGTCTCCGCAATATGATAATCATGATTTCAACGGTCACCGGTTAAAAGACGGGGACAACCAAAATGTAAGTGCCGCTCTTTAATTTGAATAGACTCTGTGTTGTTGAACTGATGTCACTTTGATTTTATTTACTATGTTGTCTACTACAGATGTGTCTCTGTGGCTAACCGTTTCTGTCAAGTCACTGTAATCGTGTTTTTTCTTTTTGTTGTTGCGTATTGCGCTGGCTGACACACACTTGTGTCAAAGTTTAATTCCGGATTATTGTGTTGTGTTCAGGACATGATGGGATAGTAGGCGGTGTGCAGATCAGCGCTCGGTGTTTATGTCGTCCTGGCTCTTGTGGCGGGGCGGGGACACTGAGCCGGGTGATTCCAGGCAACCAGAGGTTTATTCTCTGAAAGATACATGGTTTGCTGGAGAGGCTTAATAGTGATTAAATAATCCATTGCATGGACATGAAACACAGACGGCATGCAACGGCATGCAGCCTTCCATAGAGTGTGCCTTTTCTATTGTATCAAAAGCAACAGTAGAACTAATTCAATGGGTAAATTCCAGTATGTGAAGAACTTTTGACTTTGAAATTAATTAATCAAAGTAGAACAAAGCGACAGTCGTATGTTACAATGTTGTGAAAAAAGCCCAGAACAGCTTTCGTTTTACAGGATCGGCTTGTGTAACGAGAGCCAATGTGGACGCTGCACATCATCTTACATTATCGTTATAATAAACAAGTACCAAATGAACACTCTCCCTATGTGCTTAAACCTCTAATGACAGCTTATTGTGAATTTACAGATTAGTTGCAGAATAACATGAGACTTAAATATAGCAAAATATGATAACACTACTTAAAGAGAATGTGTAAATTAAATATGAAAACATATGGAGAGAAAAGATTGTGACTTCTCCCCCCATTGGGCTAAGATCCTACTCTATACTTTTAAATGACTGACCGAAATGTGTCTGTAGCAACCATCAAAAGCTCTCGAGTACTGAAAGCTAGCTATGTCTGGCCAGATTTGTAATCTTCTGCATATTTTGTGGTGTAGTACTTCCATAGTTTTGTAGAAAAACATGTTTCTGTTGAGGCATAGAGGGGCGTCTAAAAAGAGTATGGTTTTAGAATCCGCCCTGAAACTTGTTCGGAAAGTCAGATTGTAATCAGGTGTACTGCTCGCTGTAATAAAACTAATAATGGGAATGTATCGTCTTGTGTCTAGTCTGAGATGGGCAACGAGTCCCCGAATGTGTCGGAGAACATCAGGGATCCTCTCGGGTCCTTCCTGCTCACCATCAACCTGAAGGAAGGACGAAACCTGGTCGTCAGGGACCGCTGTGGTAAGAGCCTCATCTCACCACCGCTACTTATACTACAACTACCTTACCGACATCAACACTATCACTCTCAGTAATGCTATCACTATCAACAACTCCCACTGTGTTGGCTTTTTCATCTGTCTGTGTGATGATGAGGATGATGATGATGATGTTACACAACACGGAATTGCAAGAAAAGGACACGGATCATTTTACAAAGGAATGATTGAATGCACACAGTCGATCTTTCTTTGTGTATTCATGTCCGCATGTAGTCTGTATTCAAACAATACTAAATCAACATTACTGAACAAGGAAGCTGGCTGTGTCGATACAGGATGGACATGATACAGTAGGAAACACAATATGAGAAGTGTACGAGTGGAATTACAATCGCTTCATGCATCGCTTTAAAATAGGTGTTTGGTGTGAATCATTTTAACTTCCCTGCTAGTCGATCAACTTTTTCCCATTGGTCTTATTCTTATATTCCTGTCCCTTTTGACACGTTTTTTTTTTTTTTTTTTTTTTTTTTTTTACAGTTTGTCACCTATGTCATCATGTATCATGTTCATTTCTGCCCCAGTGAGTAAAGTGCCGCCACTCATATTCATTTTGTCTACCCTTTTGCGTTCTCACGCTCGTGTTGCAACTGGTGCTGGAATGTGTTGCACTCATCGTCATTTCAAAATTGCCGTGTGCTGTATCACGTTTGACGCAACACAGACGCCATCGAAGAAGTAGTTTAGAATCTCTTCTTTCCTTATTGCAGTTTGGTTTCCTAAACCTACCAGACTTTTAAGATCATTGGTGCCCAGCAGAGTGTTCTGACGTGTGAACCTGACACTGTTTTCGCTTGCATTGACCTCAGTTTGTGTGTTTAGCCTTGGCTGGTTAATGAAGGCCAGGAGTGTCTGTTTGATCATACGCAACGTCATTGACTCCAGGGACACCCAAGACGGCCGAGTGTCGGGTTGACTGTGGAGCTCCAGTAACAGCCGGGGCAGGATTCCACACTGCATATTAGAACCTGTCTGAGCCGCGCCCTGCATTCATTACAGCAGGTCTTTCGCTCGAGGCATGTATTTGGATTACATTTCCTCTCTCTCTCTCGTGTGGCTTTGTGTTCACACAACCAGGCTCTGTGTGAAAAGATAATGCAGAAAATGATTGTGGGAGGATCAAGGCACAGGAGGATTTGGTTCCCCCTGCATTATCGTTAAGACCGTAGTCCTTTAAAAGCAGTGCATTACCAACGCTTTTATTTGTGCTCTTTGATCAGATTATACGGTATGAACTGCATGCGTAGCATGCTCTGCATGCTGTTTGCTGATGGGCATGTTTTACCCGTTGTCCAGCTTTGTTCTCCTTGTTTACGGTTTATGTCTATTTCTGTTGACATTTAGAGAATCGAAAAATATCTTCTGATTCTGATGGTTCATAAACTGTTCATGATGGATTGCTGCCCTCAGCTGGTCGATCGACAGAATAGCTAGAAGTCACAGATTTTACTAGCTTTCCCTCGAAGTGAAAATTATTATATGTAAAAAGTGTAAAAACACTTTCTTGAAAAGATATGCTGCATTCAGAATCCCAGTACAGTCACCATCACACATTGCCCTCCCCACATGTGATAGAGTAGACATGAGACGCTAATACTCACTCAAATAACGTTTTCAGCTGCAGTCACTTTTTCACAGTTGAAGCCGAAATCTGATTGGCTATTGATTCAGGAAGCTGTGGTCCCATCGGTTGCGGAGGAAAGAAACCACATCCTCCATACAGACACATTAGAGATGACAGCAGGCTGGTCCTCCCTCTTACTAGAAACCTGTACATTTACTCAGAAGTGAAGCAACGAGGGCAACTGGTTATTTAGAAACCTAGGTTGGAAATTAGAAGCAGGCTCATTTCATCTGTATGTTTTACTGTCGGTCACAATGACACGTCAACCGTGCTTTTGGAAGACAGAGCGAAAAAGAGACGGAGTGACGTCCTAAATTCTGTCAAGCTGTCACTATCGCTTCTTTTAGGTCTGATTTAATCAATTCAGCTAATAAGATCCTTAAGCAGTATTATTATTATTATTCAGGCTGAATTACCAGCTGCAGTGTGGGCTGTTAGTCAATGTGTTAACCCCCAGTAGCAGAAACTATCTCCATCACCAACAGCAGCAAGAGGGTTCAGTAAATAATCCCAGCTGCATTGTTTTGTACTTTATAAATTCTTGTCAGGTACCAGCGACCCCTATGTGAAATTCAAACTGGACGGGAAAACGTTCTACAAAAGCAAAGTGGTTTACAAAGACCTCAACCCATCATGGAACGAGACCTTCTCCCTACCTGTGAAGGATCTGACCCACAAACTGTACATCAAGGTAACTAACAGTTCATCACTTTACCACAGGAGAGTGTTACGGTTGCATTCGTCTGACATAGAGAGTCCTGCAGTAGAGGTGATCCATATGTTGGTGCGGCTCCCGGGCCATGCATCAGGGAAGACCAATTTGCAACCATGTGCCACGACTATATTACTAATAGTCTCCATGACGCTCTCTGTATTAACACTCTCTTGGTGTTTGGCGTGACACAGGTATACGACCGTGATCTGACCACTGATGACTTCATGGGCTCCGCCAGTGTCACCCTGGGGGATCTGGAGATGGACAAGTGAGTGTGTCAGTGAGAGCGTAATGGTCAACTATGTGTTGGAAGCAGTCGGACGGTGCATTGTGTAGCTTATAAACTGATACTGGGTTCTTGAGAGTTTAAAAATACTCTGCTGATAATGTATCAGTATTTAGTTGTTGTTTTTTTTTATATATGAACACATAACAAATATTTTGATAAATATTCCTTAACCTATCATTTTTCATGAGAACTGTAACCATGATATCTACTTAGTGGGACAGATTGCAGTTGAAAAGTAAACTTGGCAGTGCTCTCTAGTGGACAAACTCTGTAGTGTACATGTCTTTGGCATTTCTATACTGTTATATCATTTCATTTCAGTTTGTAATAAGCCAGTGGTTCTCAACCCGTTTGGTTTGTTACTCCTTTAATTTCTGCTCGTGTGTGTTGGTGCTTACAGTTTTCTTTTCGCTCATCCAAACAACTTCACACTGGTCACTGCACTTCCTTGAGTCCTGAGCAATACACCTAAGTGTTATGTCGGCCGGCTGGTTGTCGAAAAACCTGAAAGACAGACATTCATAGAGATAAACAGAGAGGCTGTTTTAATGAAAGATTCAGATTGTTTTATTTTGTCTTCCACATGTAAAATCATCCTTTAGAACCCCCACCCCTTTTTGTTGTTGTTGCAGAAATGTGTTTTTCTGCTTTCTTATCCTGTAAATCATCTCACTACTTCTCAGATTTGCGCCCTCCATGGCCGACGACTGCCCCTCTCTGAAATATATTTGTTGAACTTTAATTTAAGATGAACTGTTCTCTTCTTTTTTCTTTTTTTAGGCTCAACGAGATGTCTTTGCCCTTGGACGACCCGAACAGCCTGGAGGTGGACATGGGGGTCGTGCTGGTGGACATGAGTCTGTCACTCAGAGATGGAGACAGCAAAAGAGGCAGTGTAATATACAACACAGAGGACACTTGTTGTGCATTGTATTTATTGCACATGTATGGTTTCACCCAACCAGTCCTGTCTACGTCCTACTAACCACTGTGTCATTTTGTTTTGTTGCTAACATGCGTGCTCCTGTTGGCAGCGGTGGCCCCAAAAAAGAAAACGGAGTGTTACGGTATGATGGAGGGGACACGCAAGACAAACATAAAGTTAAATCCAATTTGTTTGGTCGGCATTCTACAGATATCTGCCGAATTTAAAAGAGAGAGACCAACATGTTGTTAAGAGTTAAAGCTACAGTTGATCATTTTGTCTATTTTTCACAAGAGGGCAGCAAATGACCATGTTGTGATTAAAGAAAGTATATGTCTATTGTACCAAATGCAATCTGACAAATGTCTTCAGTAATTCTAAGATTAAATATTGAGTCATTAACAATCAGTGGTCACTTAGATACTGTATGCATAAAGCATATCACATTTTGAGTAGAATCACATCTTGACTCATTTAACAAGTACTAAGTACTTTTTTTTTTTTTTCTCCCCATGTCGACTCAATACACAACTCAATTTGTTGTGCATTTAAAGTAATCCTTCTGCACAACAGCTGCTGCCCCAAATACTTTTATAGGAAATTAATTTGCCTTTTAAAGGAAGACCAAGTATGTGTTGAGCCATTTATGGTAGAACGGTGAAATCTAAAACGTATTAACATACTAACACGGTGTATACTGAAGTAAACTGGAGCAATACGTATTCTGTGCATCACATGACCGTATCGATGGCAACGTGACCGGTCCGAACTCCCGTTAAATGGAAGTTGTTTATCATGAATGTCAGTCAGCATTGCCTCTTCCATTCAATTAATATTTTCCGGTATTATCTCAAGGTAAGTAATACGTATGAATGATTTTAGTGTTAAATATTTAGTTCTACGGTACATTATATATTTTTTCGACAGTACATTATATATGTGAGCTCCCCGCGTTGTTCGTCTTACCTGTACCTTTACCTTTAATATAACTCGCTACCATTTCTAATTATTTTAGTTTATTTTTTTAACCAGCTGTCTCGCGATCCGGCATCAGACAGTCGTTCAATGTGTAGCGGTGCACAGAATGACGTCACACAGGCTCAATCTGGTGCTACACATTTAATGAAAATGGTTCTGTAAAATACAAAGATATAATATATACGTTTAGGTATGCAGTCGCTTCTCTACTGCCTACAAATGTATCTGGCCATAAATAACACTGTACCCCTCATTTTAACTAAAATGAACACTTCCTCCTCATTAACACATAGGAAACATAATAAACTCACTTAACTTACACTACACCCAAGCAACTATTGTACTTCCTGAACTCAAATGACTTATATGTGAGCTCCCCGCGTTGTTCCTCTTACCTGTACCTTTAATATAACTCGCTACCATTTCTAATTATTTTAGTTTATTTTTTTAACCAACTGTCTCGCGATCCGGCATCAGACAGTCGTTCAATGCATTTCTGGGGTCTCACGGCTCTTATTTAGAAATTCTCGCTAGCCTAGTCAACATCGGGGGATTTCTCATGCACACAAAATCCACATACTAAGCAGTGTAAATGCACTACAGACTGAATTTTGCATCATAATTAATATGAATAGTATGCAATTTTTGACAGACCCATAGTGTAAGAGGAGGGCACGCACAGAAGAGTCACAATGTCAGCAAACGTATACTCAGTGTTGTCAGCTACAGCAACATCTATCTAAGATTTGCTAACGTTAGCCGCCACGATCTGCTGATCATACCAGACCAGAAGTGAGGCTCTAGCAGCAAAAGCAGTGTTTTGAATTTAGCACAGATATGTATTGTTGCTTATGAATTTGACTTTTCAAGTATTTGTTATTTCTTTCTTTTTTTTTTTTTTTCAAACATCAAAAAGTGTCGCTTTAAGGAAATTCAATTCTATATTTGCGACCCTTGGTCCAGTAGGAACCAATGGTCTTGGGGCAGAGTGCCACAGAGAGGCTATAGGGAAGAAGGGAAGTGTTGAGACTTTAGCATTGTTGACAAAACAAATTATTGCCAGCAATATCCATAAAATGAGTGTGCTGGTTGTGTTCTGACTTCTCACGGGGGAGGTGTTTGCTGAACACATTTCTGTAGTTTATTTTGTAGGGCAGCTCTTTCTGTGGTACTGGAATCGGCACATCTGACATCTTTGCTCATTCCAGACTATCTCTGCAAGGTTATTGATTGAGTTGCAGCTCCATGATTGCGCGTTTGGAAGTAGTAGTTGTCATTACTTAACAGTTGTACCTAATAAATTGGCCACTGTGTGCACGTCCCAGATGCTAATTGTACTCTGCCAAGTGCATTCAGTGCGGTCTGTTAATTGAAACATGTTCCTCCTGTGCATGTGACAGAACCGATTCAGACAGGACATCACTGTCAGCTTGATCTGCATTAATTGAATCTGGGTTAAATGTATCTCCCTACAGTGTGATGTCTTCATGTAAGCTTTCAGCTAATTATCTCAGAATATGGCTCCCTATTATATATGGAAGAAAGATGCTGCTCTGCATTGTGGCTGCTGCAGGCTTTACCTAATCTCTCAGTGAACTGAAGGGACGATTCAATTCTCTTTTCACTGGAGGAGAACGATAATGCTTTTTCATTCAGCTGTCTCTCCGATGGGTGCTTCGGATTCGGATCATGTTGCTGTCTGATATAAGCTTTGTGTTTTATTGGTGAACATTTCTAAGTAGAATCCCCATTTTATTTACTGCACCGGTTTGTGTTTTGTGTCCTGTCGTTCCTGTCTCTGGATGATGCATGCATGTGTTGTTATAAAAGATAAGATGAAGATAACGGATTGGTAAATAGATATGCTGGTGTTGCATATGAATTATTTGCATTTTGCATTCTGAATCTCCTTACCCCCCTTTCCTTTGTTTCAAATCCCAGTCGGGAGGCTCTTCTCAGAGCTTTCATCAGTCGGAGACAGTGAGGAACAGTCAGCTGTGGGCTTCTGTTGTGTCAGTGACTCTGGTCGAGGGTCAGGAACTGCCGCTGGACACTCAGGGAGGTCAGCTCTTTGTTCGCTTCAGACTGGGAGAGCAGAGACACAAAAGCAAGGTACTGGATGTAGGACTAATGCTTTTCATCTCCTCCGCTCCCCTCCTCCTCTTGAATTGTACTTGTTCTTATTAAACCCTCTCCACTCCTCCCCCCCCCCCCCCCCCACTCTTTTCTTCTCCTCATACTCTCCCTCCTCTGCTCCTTTTCTCCTCCTCCTAATCCTAGGCACTTTTCTTTATTACTTAAACTCTAAACTCATGTTTTTCTTCCCTAATCCTTTCCATGTCATTTCCCCCTCTCCCTTTGCAAGTGTGTAATCATGCTTATCTGGTAATGTATTTGGTCACGACACGAGTTGTTTAAAATGAAATATTGGAAATGTTTAAAACCAGACATTTTTTATGAACGCCTTTATTAATAATATTGTATATTTACCTTGATATTGGCATTCTATATTATAATGTATTTTATGCAGTAGATACTATGCATACCATACTGTCCAAAGTAATAATTAATACAGCTGTAGAACTGTTTAAAAGAGCAAATGTTAGGGTTTTAATGCCCTTATGATCTTTTGACGTGGTCACAGATCATGTATAAGAGACGGCAATGTAAAAAGATAAAAATGGATTTTGGTGTGTGACATGAGTTGCTTTGATCACTGCTCATCCTGCCAGCTGGAGGATGTCTAGCAGTGGTGCTCCCTTTCTTGCGCTGCCGACGCTGCGGCTACTGTCACTGATGATCGCCTTGCTATTCTGCAACATCATCCATTACACATCAAAGCTACATGCTAATGAGCAGCATCGCTCCTTTCTTTTCTTATATGCAGGTTCAAGATGACAGTAATTACTTTTTGTGCCTTCATGTGCGATGCAAATTTCTGATGATGATTCTTGATTCAAATCATTCACACACACCAATCTGTTGGAAAATCAAACTCATATAAGTCAGTTAGAAAATCTGGACATACTGCAACTGGTTAATTGATTATTTCTAAATAATATATTCTAAATGTATGACAGTACTATGATTTATAGCATAACATGGAAAATAGGGTATCAGCATTTTGTGACTGTGTTATCTGTATTTGAATGGCTACTCTCAGCAATGCACATGCATGTGAATGAGAAAACATATCTTTCTTTTATATTTCATGTTCTGACCTCATTTTTTATTCAGAATCACTGCAAAGTGTCCAAACCTCAGTGGAGAGAGAGGTTCACCTTTAACCAGTTCGGTGACAGGCCAGAGAACCTGGAGGTGGAGCTCTGGCACATGGAAGGACGAAGGAACGAGGAGTGTTTGGGAACGTGAGTCTGCACTCTGAACTTGTGTGTCTGTATGAGTGTGTGTTGCCCTTCAAAGCCAGTATGGGAACAGTCTCAAAACTACTGATGTGATTCACCTTGCCAAAAAACACCTCACATTGGGAACAAAAAAAGATTTGGCATTTCCAGAGCAGCACCCTTGATTTTCCACTTGATAATTTGGAAGCAAAGACCAGTGTCAGCCCAGTGTGTGGTGTGTTTGTCCTGTCAGGTGCAGAAACGGTACATGTTTGTGTCTAAGTGAACTGTCAGTTGTTAAGTGTCCAGCCCGCATAATGTTGCAAATGCCTACTGAGCCTCTCCGTACAGCAGTGAACAATGTGAAGAAATATCGTCTGGTGCTGTAAGGATGTAAGTGTTTGTCTTGTGTATGTGGGTGTCTGCACATGTCTATTCTTGCTTTTATGCCTGTACGTGTGCGTTGTGCATGTGCGTCATCATGCATGTCTGTGCACGTACATTTTTAAATTTGCATGACTGCAACTATATCTGCATGCGTGTGCTGCAGTATGTGAAGGCCTGTGTGTGTGTGTGTGTGTGTGTTTGTGTGCACAGGTGTGACGTTGACCTGTCCAGGATACCGTTCAATCAGAGGCAGCTGTTCACACAGACCCTGGACCAGGGGAGAGGGCGCTTGGTCTTCCTGATCACACTGAACGAGTGCAGCGGCGTCTCCATCTCTGACCTCTGTGCCGCACCGCTTGATGAACCTCATGAACAACAGAATCAGCTGGAGAACTATGTCAGTACCTGCACTGCTGTATACATTCTATATCTGTACGGTGTGGTTGCATCACTTCACCACCTACATGTCAGTATATCTGACACTTTCATTTGGGTCGTTACAAACCGCGACAGCCTCGCTGGAATTGTTTTCACCTTGTGAGTCACGCAACTTAATAGGTGTGTAGTTAAGATCAAGGTGAAGGCAGAGATTGAAGATGGGTTTGGTCTGAGCAAGAGTGCCGGGAGTAGGAAGTGGGGTAGGGCCCCTTCTCACTTAACGTCCCCCAACTCGATTTGACGTCGCGGCTTACGTGATCCCATCACAAGATGGTCTCCAGTTATCAGTCAAATCTTTTTACTCTATTTAGAATCTGTGTCGGTCTAAAGATTGTTACTTAAGGCAGGTGAAAGCCCACTGCCATTGGAGATAAGAGTGAAGAGAAAGGCATGTATTGTAATCTGTGATAATTAAGTGAGCATTTAGTACAAACCTATATGTAGTTTTAGTCTGAAGATGATACAACGTGCTTAGATTTAACAATTGGGGGGGGGTTTGAAAAATTGAGTGAGCTTTAGGACATTTAAGTCGAAACTGCTTCCAGGATTATTGCAGTACTTCCTGTGTTGAAAGGCCAAGAGATGGCAGTATCTGCCAGGTAATGTGCTAAGAGTCAGTGTTGAGCTGAAGGTTTTGACATCAGCTAGGTGGTCATGCACTGAGAAGGTCTGCTGTGTTGTCTTGAGTAAGTATACACATTGAAAAGAAAACGGGTCCAACGTGAACTCCGCTGGTAAACCGTACTTGATGATGTACAGATGGGAGGGGGGAATAAATATTTAGGACACCACTGAAGATACCAGCGCATTAGAATCTATCCTTAATAGATACTGTTATCAAAAGCTGCACTTAAAGTCCAATGCCTGTTTATTATTTTTTTAGTCTATAAACTAAAAATCATGCAATTTACCATCAATCATTTTTCCAAAGCACAACATAGATATTAAGATTTTATATCCTGTTATATCACGACTGTCTCGCAGCCGCTGGTTTGAGTTCATGCTAAAAAAGTATGAAAATAAACGTGCAGTGACTTTAAACGTGGTTGAGATGAATAATCAATCATGGCAATGCAATTGGAAGCAAGTACTGTGTTGAGAGTATGTCTTGTTTGTGTATTGAAGTTAAATACAAAAATTTCAAGTCAGCCTCTGAAGAGAAACCTTTCTACTGCGGAATGAAAATAAATCCCCGAACCACTCCATGCCTTCATCAAGCATCTGGTCTATTGATGGAAATGCTGTTTTAAAAAATAAAAAACCTTTGACCAGTTCAAATTTTTTCAAATTTTTCAAAAACATACTATAGCAAAAGCACTGCTTTTTTTTGACTGTCTCTCAAATCTCAGATGGCACAGCTTCCCAAAAACATATTTCAGTGCCTCTACAACATTTACCATAACTTCTTTAAACTCATTTCTTTTGTCTGTTTGGCACTGAGGTGGGAACAGACTGCATATAAAGAGTAGCACAGGTCTGCTGTTAATGCTGTGGATTTATCTTCTGGTGCACAAATGATATAGATTACATGGCTAATTAATGCACATGTATAGACTGACTCTGTTGATATATATTTTGTGTTCCAGATTTTTTTATTTCAAGGATTCCCAAACATTGTGAGATAGGAAATGTTTGAACATTTTTTTTCGCACTACTGCACTTGAATGAAAAGAACGCCTGGCTCATGTATCCTATGATTTAAAAAAAAACAAAGAAAACAGAGGATTGTGAAGGCTTTTAGTAGTTGCTCTCTGATGTTTTCCATTTTATGGTAATACATCTGAACCCCCATGCTTCCCGTCTGTCCCCCACAGAGTTTGAAAAGTTCCCTGAAAAATCTCCGTGATGTTGGTTTCCTTCAAATCAAAGTTATCAAGGCTGCAGATTTGCTGGCTGCTGATTTAAACGGTACGTCACACATTTGGATTCATTTCCTTTTGTTCTTTTGTTGCATTAAACGGGACAGAGGGAGCCTAGTGTGAAAGTTTTTTTTGTTGTTGTGTTCTGCAGGCAAGAGTGATCCCTTCTGTGTGTTGGAGCTGGGGAACGACAGACTGCAGACCCACACGGTCTACAAGAGCCTCAACCCAGAGTGGAATAAAGTCTATACATTGTCAGTTTGAATCTCTCGTTTAATTCCCTCCCACCACATTTTCTCAATAATACAACGTGATGTATGTATGTCGTATTCTGTTTGACCACAAATTAAGAAAACTTGGAACATTGTGGCCGTTGTGTGTGTGATGGTTGGTGTGGAGTACCTGACCTGCTTGTTTGTCTCCGCAGCCCTGTCAAAGACATTCATGATGTTCTGGTGGTGACCACCTTTGACGAGGATGGAGACAAGGCGCCAGACTTCTTGGGAAAAGTTGCCATTCCTCTGCTCTCGGTATACTCACTACCTCACTAAGAGTCCGTCATGCGGACAATAGACTAATCTATTTACACTCTGTGTCTAAATTAAAGTGAAGAGGGCGATAACACTCCAGCACGTTAAAGACTCGCTAAGATGTAATGCAGCATGACTGATGGTCAGGTTCATGGATGAGTTCAGCACCTGATGCCCTTTCTGTCCCGCAGATCCGCAGGGGACAGCAGATCGCCTTCCTGCTGAAGAAAGAGGACTTAGGTGGGCTGTCAAAGGGGAGCATCACTCTGGAGCTGGAGGTTATTTTTAACCCTGTAAGTAAAAGTTCAGCCTGCAATGAGGACATGAGTGCAATGAAAGACAGGCCCCCATTCTGTCTGCTTCTTATTGCTTCATGACTATTTTTATTTATTTTTTATTAGGTCAGAGCAGGTATAAGAACCTTCCAACCAATGGAGAGAAGATTCAAGGAGGATAATCCCAAGTTTTCCAAAAAGGTTTGATGCAGCTCTGATACATTTTATGTATAAAACAGGATTGGGGAATCATCATTTTGCATTGAGTAAAAAAAAAAAAAATACATTTAACACACGGTACATATAGATTTTAACTGATTTGTATTCATCTGGAGCAGCGTACACTTGCATACAAAGGGTAGAATACCCATCAAATCCATTCTTCGATAAGTCAATTAGTTGATCAACTGAACATTTTAACTTTCTCTCGTGATAGTAAATTGAATACCTTTGGATTTCAGACAGTTGGTAGAGAAAAAACAAGGGGTCCGAGGATGTTAGAACTTTTTGACATTAATCGATCAAACAATGAATTATTTACTTAAGAAATGTACAAGTAGATTCATTGCTTATGAAAATGATTGTTTAGAGCTTTAAACTCCATAGTGTTAAACGTTACAAGCAACCAACAGTAAAGAGGGCGAAGGTCAGAGGTCACTGCACTTGTGACAATAATCATGTGATGCTGGGATAATTGAAAAAGGAGCTAAGAGGTAGAAAACAAGTTGTTGTCGATGTTTATTATCAATTGGCTCTTCATGAACTAAACATTTAAAAAAAAAAAAAAAAACATGGTTAATGAACAAGTTGGAACGTTTTACTTTTCTTTTCTCTGAAAATCCAACGCCTTCACTTTGCCTGAATTAGTTGAATTGAGCTTTAATTGACCCCAACTGTGACTTAGTTTGTGTCCACTGTTCTGCTACATTAGTTTGATATACAGTGTGCAAGACAGGGTGCGAGACAGGGTGCCTGACTGTCTGTGCTTCCCACAAAGACTCATTGTTGTCAGACAATACATTGCTCGCTAACGCCAAAATTGGCTTACACACCGAGCACTCTCATCGCAATGTGCGGGGTTTCTTTCTGTTTTCATGTTGAAAGTCTTGGTTGACAAAATCAGGTCAGATTACTGACATCTTTTGCTTCCTGACCACAATGGCTCATGCATGCCAAAACCTACCAGCTTCTCGACTATTACACTAGCTGACTGGACGTTTCCTGTTTGGCATGAATTAACAAAAAAGGAAAAATAGATAAATAGATACTTTATTCATCCCCAGGGGGAAATTTGTATGTTACAGCAGCAAAGAGTAACAGAGTAAAAATATTAAGTATGAAAAATGCACAATATATACAATAAAATAGAATAGTGTTAAATGAACTAACTAGGTAAAAACAGTAGTGCAAAGATCAACCAACAGTAAACCACAACAGTGCAGCAATGTGTAGTCCTGTGAAGGATGATCTGGCCAGAGGTGATTTATTGTACAGTCTAATAGCAGTGGGCAGGAATGTTTTCCTGTATCAACCTATACACAATAAAACATCATTTTGAGCACTTTTATACACATTTTAAACATAACTACTGTAATATTTATGTGTGTTGCGTGTTCATCTGTATCTTTCAGCTGCTGGCCAGGAACGTGCTGCGCGTTCAGACACTGTTCAGGGCTATCAAGTCGACTTTGCAGTACATCAAAAGCTGCTTCCAGTGGGAGAGCGTTCAGAGGAGCCTGCTAGCCTTCCTGGTAAAGTGCTTTAACTGCTTATCAACATGTTATCTGCGTTACCCTCTGTTCCCCCCCCCCCCCCAAGCTGCGGAAGACGACCGCAGTCTGGCTATCCCCTACTTGAACTCTCCCAGCGAGATTGTTAATCAATGCGGTGTTGGGCTCAGCAGAAACGCAGGCTCGGCCCCATCTCTAGCGCTGGAGTGGATGCTTTCGGTGTTTGTGTGTCTCGTGGATCCAGAGCTAAGCCTCAGCTGGAGAGAGTAGAGTCCCAGTGGAGTCGAGATAGTCTATTTTTGTTCTACTTCCCTGACAACTCATTAACCCTCCATCCAATCTGCGCACGGTTTGATTTAGACACCATTATGCAGACAGAAGTCCAATTAAAAGGCTCATCAGAGATAAGGCTTATTCTCCATCCTCCCATTGTTGAATACAAGTGTTCAGCAAATGCGGAGACAGACGCACGGGAGAAGCCTCTCAGGCCTTGTCTTTAAACTGTAAAGTAGAGTGGGTGCTGATCTTTTTGACATCATTCTCTCCCAGATCATAGCTCGATTGAAATGGCACACAGCAAGTTGTGCATTAACTATGCAGGCAATCAAGGTCATGGAAAGTTCTTTTCGTTTTTGCGACTACCGTCCTGTAGATGGCACTAAAGTTTTGCAAAGACTTATCAAGGGATACTGTACGTGAGCCAATAGTACAGTTTGTTCAATTTGCTGTGAAAACTGTGAGCTGCAGCACAGAGCTGCTATCTAAACAAAAGCCACGCTTTAGCTTTGAGTCGCGCATTTAGATTTGTAATTTCGGATCACTTGGACTTCTAGAAACTGTGTCGTCCAGGACCGGGTCAGCAGGCAGTGAACTGTAATCAGAAAGTGCCTACAAGGAAAACATTTACACTCTAGTTAATGCACAGGTGCTCACAATGGAACAGAACTCATTAGGAATACCCAATCCCCCCCTCTTATATATACAGTTAACTATTAGGGATAATATTGTTGTTTTGCCTGACAGATCAGACACACACACACATACTCAATCACAAATCATGCAAGCATGAACAAGCGCACAATGTGCACACACGTCCTCCCACTGCATCTCAGTGTTTGAGAGACAGTACCATCTGTACTCGTGTTTTCACACTAACGCACCCTGCCATTTCAAGCCTCAGTGAGAAGAAATAAATGCCTGCTTAATATCTCCACATGAGCAAAGCTTCGCTCTACATGACAGGATACCTGCAACATCTGCCGATTGTCAGACGCGTTGGTGCAGAGCGGTATACTTTAGATGTACGGGGTTATCCCAGTGAGAAGCCACAGTCCTGGTAGTGTTGGTGCCTCTACCCATTGAACTATAATAGACCACATATGTAAAAGGTAGTGGGACTTGCTGTTTTAACTTTTCCTTTTTTTTTTTTTTAATGACTTGCAACTTTTATTTTGAAATATAACATCAATAATATATAAGCATTTGATATCATTACAATTATTAGGGACAAATTCATATATTGGGGAAAGTAACCCCAATAAAAGCACTATTGCTCAATGCAATGGGGGGGTTTTGCTGCTACAGCCTTACTTGGTCTGGTATGAGCAGTAGCTTATGGTGGCAAATGTTTGGGTAGATATTATGGTTCACTAACTTTATGACTTTTCTCCACTTTTAGCATTATCCCATAATTATCCATAATAATCAGAAGCTGCCGTTCAGCAAACGTTCCGTGGCCCCGCTTTAAAACAATGAATGTTGCGAATGATGTCTGTGATTTCCGTGCTCTTGGATTACCAGCGTGCCATGCGAACCCTTCCCCGAGCTACCCTTCAGTTCAGTAGCTCTAGGTCCTCTCCCCCCCCCCCCCCACCCGTCTCTCTGATCTGGATTGTATTTCCAGAGCTCTTTTTGCTGTCGAAGACTGTGTAATGCCTCTCAAGCCGAAATGGGCTGCAGTTATCGCAATCTTTATGAGCTGGGTATACATTTCCACCAAAGCGTGACTTGGCTTTCCCTCTGTCCCGGCTCCCCCAGTCATTACAAAGTCCTCTCTAATAAAACATAACCCTTTCAGCGAGGAATTGGTTTCATCTCCTCTCCCAGGCCCTGTTTTGGCACGTGATAACACAGACAAGAGCATGCTTGGCTTTTTGCACATTAAAGCTGATGTTTGTAGTGGCGGTGGTGGTGGGGAGGTTAGGATCTGCCATCTTTTATGTCAGTTGGTGCCTCAGAGGAGAGCGATGTCTTTACCAGATGTCCACTTTATTTATATTAGCATATAAAAACCTGTAAACCCTTCCCCACGCCTTGTGGCGCTCTGCCATTTTGGCCGGCGTTGCCTCTCCGACGGGATTATTTTATCGGCCCATTTAGCCGTGCCATTGAGCCGTCGCAGGCCATTTTTCCTTTATCCCCCCTATCCATTTTACCTGAGCCACGCACAGGTGGGATGTCCATAACAAGTGCCATTACGGATATTAATGACATATTCGCACACAGACTCCCCCCCCCCGTGGCTGCAGTCAATCGCGTGGTCGTCTTTAATGTGCACAAGATGAGAGAGGCAGATCAATTAGACGTATGTGGTTAATGTCAGTGCATATACAGGGGGTGGAGGGAGACCCAGTCCAGCTGAGCAGGGTGGTGGCCCTGCACAGCGTATGCAAAATAACAGAAAATGTACGTAGGAAGCAAAGCTTTGATAGTGGCAGGGTAGCCTTCATCAGCTTGACCACTGCTAATTAAATCAATAGTAGATTGGATCAACCTTTAGCTAGCGGGGATTCTGGAACTATTGAAAATGTCTTTGGATGTGACTTAATGAAGAGCAGCCTGTTTCATACTCCCACCCCCCACTTGTGTCCGACCTCACTGATATCTGACCTCTGTGGCCTTACTACCTGCAGGTGTTCTTGGTGACGGTGTGGCACTGGGAGTTTTACATGCTGCCCCTCTTCCTGGTGCTGCTCATCTCGTGGAACTACTTACAGATCCGGTCCGGTCGGGTCAGTCAGGACTTGGTGAGTCCAGAGCCACTTCGTCCGCCTCGTCCATCTTCTCCTCCTTCGGCCAAGTGACCTGCTGATTCCTCTTCAGACTCCTTTTTGTTATTTTTTTATTTAGTAGAAGAACAGCTACCTCCACCACATTTTGTTCTCCTAATTAAACTGGTTTGTTTCCATAGCAACTAGCTGCACCTAGCTACATAATAATAAAATAACACATAATACATAAGCATAGAAAACTCACTGAATAGACTAATGCAACATATCATTATTGACTCAGCTAATTTGCTTTGCTCGTCCCTCACTAACACTGCTACTTACTTTCTTTATTTTAAAGTCTGCTTCTGGTTATTGTCCAGAGTCCTTCCTCTTCTTCACTGTAATTGGTCTGTAGCCCTCTTCTTGTTGTGACTGGTCAAATTAGACAAAGCTTTTAGCACTCAGCTTTGAAAAGGTCAAAATTCACAGTGCTATTTTTCCCCACTGAGCCCGGTCTCCGTTTCACAGAAAATAAGGATGTTGCATCTCGTCTGTTGCTCTGTGTGGAGTAGCAGCTGTATTTACTGTACACGGTTAGACACAGAATATAGGTTATAGCAAATTACATACACAGTGCACCGTTCAGACAACAATGTGCTTTATTGTGATGTGAAATATGTGCTGATTTACAACCATGTAGGGCTGTAACGATAATGGTTATTAGCTCCATTCATTATTAATTAATGAATTGTTCAGAATATTAAAAGCCAGAAAATTGTGAAAAAAGTTTTTTGAGCCCAATGAGGTGTTCTGAATTTTGTTAATCAATTATCAAAATTGTTGGTGGTTAATTATGTCAATCAACTAATTGATTCAGCCTTAATGAATATGCTGTATAGCCAATACTACAGAATATTAAACTGTTTACAACAACAAACAGATCCACCATGAGACATTGAAATCATTGTACATGCATGTCCGGTAATGGGAGCATTAAGCATGCTAAGGTTCGTGTAAGTGCAGCCAAAAACAATGCTGTGAGAGAGAACTAGAGCTTAACGATGCTAAAACTCTCAGTCGAGCCGACGGGAACTGCAGAGTCGGGTGATAATTCTCTGTGGGTTTGTCACTTTGAGCAACACCTTTCATATACACGTAACCATGGGATCCACTGTTAATATGAAATCATTGATGACTGCCGCCATCGCGTACTCTGGGTATAGCAGTGCGAGTTGTCCTTCCGTTGCCTTGGTTTGTTGTGAACAAAGCCAACATGGCCCGTCAGTCCGCTGTCCTGCAGAGTGTTTTTGGAGGCTGACCTCAGGGTCACTGCTGATCCCTGCACTTTGTCAGATGACGACCCCCTGAGCACACTGGAGTTAATACAGAGTCAAAATGAGACAAGGTTTACAGTGTAGGAAATCTCGACTCTATAAATACCGGTCTTTTTTTTTTTTTTTTTTCAGGACAACATGGATTTGGGGGATGAAGATGAGGATGATGAGAAGGTATGTGTAAATGTTTTTTGGTTGTTGTTTTTTTACAGTTATTTGTTGACTAAGCGTTTGTATTTCTATATGCCAGTGAATAGAAAAGAAGTTAGCTTTATTTGGACATGTTGACAAAGGTGTCTGCCTATGATCTATGATTTTCTCTTACTAAGCTTTTTATTCAGCACTAAATCCTCAGACGCATTGTGGTTCCTGCCAGCCACAAGTTGTATTTTTATTTTTTTTTGTAAACTTACCGAAAGACATTTGGGCTTAATGAAGACCTCAACAGCCCGTTTCCACATGTCACAACACATTCATATGCTAATAGAGGAGTGGGGGGGAAAGGTTCTGCTGCATTTGGGAAAGTCCCTGAGCCTAACGCACCATATAATACCATCAATATGGAACTAATGACAGCACTTAGACATGCTTTTTCAAAGCTCGTTTTGAAAGTTGGTGTTGAAAGTGTGACAATGCTTTTAGGCAGTGAAATATTCCTTTCCGAATGACAGCAGTTTATTGTAGACGTTTTGAGTGGCCTGCGTCGTCCTGATGTAAAGTGGTTCTCATACTGGTTTCAGTGGGAACATGACCCTGAAATGGCTGAAGTGGTTTAGGGCAGTGAGGAGGTTTGATGGATATTTGACTGAGGTGAAACTAAATTGTCTTGCATGTGGTTTTCCAGACTGATGGTCACTGGGCATGTGGAACATCCCAGGTTTGATCCCCTCTACAGCTCTTTTCCCAGGCTCGTCTCCTACGTCTGGGTGGCAGTGAGCCAGCAATCCCTCACAGCGTTTCTGAGCAGAAGCAAACCTATATCGCAGAGATCACATGGTGACAAAGACCATGGCTTTGGCCAGTAAACAGTCCTCTGATAACCACCACCCCCACTCCTTTCTTTAGTCCTTCTAACCCTTCCTCGGTCTCCCCGTGTTTGATGTAGACATGTGGCCGCGTCTCCGTCTCATCTTCTGTCTCTCGCTCCAGAGATCTTCAGAGAGTCTGGTCTCCTCGGTTTACTTTAAAGCCATTCTTCCCTCCTGGGATCTGGACTAGCCTGAGAACAGTACCTCGTCTCTTTCATAATGTTAAGTCCAGTCCCTTTCTGAAGAGCATTCACTTGAAAAAGCCTTTTTTAAATTTGCTGTTGAAGTACATTGACATTTTGCAGACGCTCTTATCCTTCGCGCCATTTAGGAGTCTTTCAGTGTTTTGGTGTCTTTCTCTGTGACACTTGGATCGGCATTATTATTATTATTATTATTATTATTATTATTATTAAGTCTGGTAGGGAGGAAATCTGTGGCCTTGAGAATGTCTCCGATATCTCTGACCAGATAAAGCTGTAAAAGCTTTATATGAAAAAGCAAATTACTACAAACCAATTAAAATCAAGATATTTTTGGGAATCATATTTGATCTACTAAAGAATAGTTTTATTTATTCAGTGTGATAAATAATACTTTAACCTTTTATTTCACAAGGGTTTATTTTTGTTTATGAAATTAGCTGTGACCAAATCATCTTTGTATTACAATTACATTGATGTAAACTGACAAAAGTCCTTTTTTTTAAAAATTGTTTGTACATGTATTAATGGTTTACCTCCTTTTTAATCTGTGCTATTTGGTATGGATGATACTTTCAAGAGTAATTTAATGAGCTGCGTGTCTGACAGTCTGTCACCAGATGTTATAGCAACTATCTATCCAGCACAAACCTTTTATTAGATTCATGAAGGCCCAACCTTTTATTTTTTAAACGTGTACTTTTGTTTATCTAATACAATTAGCTGCTGTAAATGATCTACTCTCCCCTCAATGAAATTCCCCACTAATACATACTGAAATAGTAAATAGGAGAAGTTAACACACCTTTCCGAACTTTCTGTTGTGGACTGTCTGAAGTATTTTGTTTTGTTTTGTGCTGTAGGAGTCCGAGAGAAGAGGGCTGATGGAGAAAATCCACATGGTCCAAGACACAATCATCACCCTTCAGACCCTGCTGGACGAGATTGCCTGTTTTGGGGAGAGGATTAAAAAGTATGAATTAAAGATCCGTTGTGAATTACAGCTCAACACATTTATTTGTATTTCAGCTCGAGGCATCTCAAGTGTTTAATGGATCGTAATAATGAAATGTACTATTTCCTAAATATTTTAATTTTCCTCTCACGTGATTATTAAAGAAAAGAAAAGTCGGCATTAGAGGGGCCTTGATTACAGTTTATTACGTACTGTATTTTATGTACAATCAGTACATTAAGTTGGGACAAACGTTCTTCCTCAACACTTACTGATGTTTATGATCTTTGTTTATCAGCACTTTCAACTGGTCGGTGCCGTTCCTGTCCAGCCTGGCTTTCCTGATCTTTGTCATTGCAACACTCCTTACATACTACGTCCCTGTTCGCTATGTAGTTTTAATATGGGGTGAGTCTCACTTTCTATAATGTTGACTGTATTTTGTATGTTTTTTGTGTGTGTTTGTCTTTATTTTACCTGAGTGCATCATCCCATCCGTCCACTATAATTTGCTGTCATAGTTCTTCCCCATTATCTCCTTTACATTAGCTGCTTATAATGTTGGTAGTGTATGTATTGAAGCGTATCCTATTGTTAAAAGTCTCAACTGGATAGGATTATTGTCTAAACGACTTGAGTGTAAAAAGTCTTTGAGCCTAAAAAGTGAAAGTAAAAGAAGAAAAAAGGCTCAAGCCGTAGTACTCGTACGCGTGAGTCTCCTCCGCAGGTATTTCTTTGTGTGGAAACGAGGAGCGCAGCCACAAGAGACTAGTGCTAATGATACGTTGGTGTGAATTTCTGTTTTAGGTATCAATAAATTCACCAAGAAATTACGGAACCCGTACAGCATTGACAACAATGAGGTGCTTGATTTCCTGACGAGGGTGCCTTCAGATGTGCAAAAGGTAAGCCCCACTGGATCAGCCGGCCAGGAAGCCCCAAATCCCAGAGCCCACTAGCTTTGCATTTTGCTAAAACAACTCCCAGGCATTCATCACTCGTGTCTGTATAATTAGCTTCATCTGTATAATTATGTAGCCCCGTATAATTTCTGTTGTGTTTCGGTCGTGATACATCCCTGGTGGAGGTCTGCTGCTTGGTTGCCTTGCAGGGCAGGCTGTTCCCAGGCCGGGACAGGAGACGCTGCTGCTGGTGTCTCCTGTATGAACCCCCCCCCCCCCCCCATCAGTCTGCACACTGTAGCTCCTCCAACTCACATCCACCAAAAAGAAACAAAATAAGTTTGAGCTGATTTTCTAGAATAATTTGCATCACTGTAATAGTAAAATGACAACACTTTGTTATGAAGGTTGCAGGATTTTGCATTGCTGGCTTTTTTTGGCCCTTTTTAAAAAAAAAAAAAAGTATAAACATTCTCTTCTCTTCCATGTGTGGCCTCTCTTCTTCCTTTATTTCCTCTCTGTCTTCTCTCTTTTTACCCGTCGTAGTCTCTCCTCTTCACCCTCCTCTCTCTCTCTCGCTCCCTCTAAGCTGTTTGACCCCATTTGCCTCCTCCCTCTCCTCCTCGGATGCCCTTGGGCCTCTGGGTTTAGTGACTGTGACTCTCTGTAGTTTCTCAGCTGACCACTGTTATCCTGTCTGTGCAATGACTATGGTCATCCTGCTCAGTAGCGGCAGTACAATCATCATACACTTCAATGAAAATGTTATTTGTCTTGCAATAGTTATTAAATAAAAGCACTACAAGTTGAACAAAAAGTAATGCCTGATTGGTTAAAAACTTCCCACTATTATTCTCTTTGAGTGACTCTGTTTCCTATTTCCTAAAAGGTTCACTACAGTGAGATGAAAGGCAGCAGGAAGAAATAACTCTTGTAGACCTTCTACTCAAAAACAGTTTCCAGAGGATCTGCCTGTCTTGGGGTGCGGTAGGTTTGAATCTTAATTCACTGTGGTGATACACAGCTTGGCATCGCTCGTATCAACCAGCACCCAAAGACTTTTCTGCCAAAGAAGTCCAGATTGAGGACCGCGCAGAGATTACAGAAGAGCAATATGTAATATTATTTTGAAAGATGGAAGGTGTTGTGTTGTTTGTACAGTTTACTCTTTAATTGCTCCTGTAGCTGTGCCTACGGTGTAGAATTGTGATAGAATCTGAATTGTAAGTCGCTTTGGATAAAAGCGTCTAAATGACTAATGTAATGTAAGCCAATCAATCAGAAGCTGCTTTATTTTATATTTCTTGGCCCCAGGTTGTGTCCTCCTGAAACCAGCTGAAACATCAGTTTGTATTATACTGAATCTATATGTTTGGTATGTAACATTTGTGTGTATATTTTTCCCTAATTTATAATAGTCTATACTTGCATTCCAAAAATTTGGAAAAAAATAACATTGTTGCTGGGATGAAAGTTAATTTCATTATGGGTTACTTTAAAAAGTGCAAGTCATCATGAGGCTTTTTCATACAAAATCGTTGCATTTTAAAGTACAAGGTTTTAAACACGATGAATTGAGGTAACTGATTGTGCCTTTGTCCATACAGCAAACATAAGTTGGTAGCAAATATTATGCATCGTCTTCTCTTATTTCTTACATTAACCTTTTAAAGTAGATGAAGAGGTATGCGCATACAATATTGACTGACTGATTTTACTTCAATGTGACAGTATGAACTTATTTTTACATGAAAGATGAGTGCCTACATTTAGGTTTACATTTTCATTTATCCTGTGTGGGGGGGGGGGGGACACTGTGTTCTGTGGTGTTCTATTCTTTGCTTGCAAATGGGATGGGACCAGATCTGTACACTCTTAACTTTATTTATTAATGACAATCACTGATGAAGACTGTATCTCTCATTTCTAACAGCAATAAATGCACACAATTACAATTTGCTATATTTTCTGCCTCTGTGTCTCAGCTCTGTACTGCGTCTCTTTGAATTCCCCTGCACACCGTATTCCTCCTCCCCGTGCTGCAGGATTGTGGGCGTCTAGCAGCACGTCTTCCAAGCCCCCTCTCTTCATTAGAGTTTCATGAAGCGAGGCTGTGTGAGACCTCACCAGCACCCGGGCTCCCCGCTGTGTTGATGGCCCACGGGCGTCGCCGCGAGCAGGGGGACCTCGGCGACCTCCTCTCAGCTGCTGTGACGAGATGCCTGCAGCCAGCATGCTATCGAGCACGGCAGCCAGACAAACCTCTGGTACCGTGCTGCACACACCGCTCAGGAGCAGGAGGAAAGATTTTAAAACCAGCCACGAGCAACAACAGCCGCACCAATTTAGGGATTGGAGAATTGGACTAGTTAAGATGTTGCCGTTCAGAGTAATACCCTGGGATTTATGGCTTTTAAGTCGGAGCGCGTGGGCTCTCAGCCTCTTAAATGAGTGAAATTAGAGGAAAAGTGCTCTCATGCAATACATTACAAAATCCCATAATATTTATATTAACATTTGATGATTGACCGGATTAGAAACCTAAGATGTCAGCATTTAGAGTTGCTGTCTATTAACACTGGATTGTTTGAGAAATACTTAAAATAACACTATCTCCAGAGAAACAAACTAAACATCCCATAGCTGCCCAATGCAAGACACAAATAATATCCTACACAATGTGTAAAGCATATCAAATAATTTGATGATTTGTCCAATTGTCTTGAGGACAGAGGGTATAGAGAATGTGGCAGACGATGACCTGCATATCCCTTCATCTAGTTATGTTGACTTAGGTATTCAATATTAATAACCCGCTGTCAAGGACACAGGAAGGACATCTCAATCTGACACCTATAGGCTCAGCATGAATATGTATAGGCAGCCAGACGCCTCAGAATTACCAAGTAAAATCACGGTTCACACGTGGGGACTAACGTGATGTGGCACATGCATTCTGATGAGCCACAAATACAGCGGCTGATCGGTCTCAAAAGACTTGTTATAACTCAATATCCGACCTGAGAATGCTCAGCTGTGTGTGTGTGTGTGTGTGTGTGTGTGTGTGTGTGTCTGGGGGGGAGATGGCACGAAGGGGTCTAATGGGCGACATAGTGGTTAACTGGTTACCAGCATAAAACATTGCTAGTGAGCAAACTGCAGAGCAGCAGGAAGCAGTTTCCACACTGACAGCAAGCCTGGTTGGTTGGTTTGTTGCTTACTTTGGCTCGATTTCTATGACACTTCACCCTCTGTATCGGAATTAAATTAAATGAAAGAATGATAACATACAAATGTTCATGAAAAAGGGTATTATAGGGCATGGCATTAAATCAAAAATATGGTTAACCAGCACACTGAAATCCTAGAGAATGTTTGGATCATATCTTTTCATTCTTTCTGTGATATTTTTCCGCTTCAAAGCATCATCGCTCATCATGAAATTGTTCTGAGAATTATTATCATTACCATTATTGCTGTTGATATCTCGTTAGCAACTGTTAATCCGCTAATGCGTTTTAATAAAGTAGGGTTTTTCAGTCTGCTTCGTTGGAACCGAAAAGAAAGCAAATAAGGATGTTTCCCAAATGTTTTAGTATTCTGTTGTAGTATCAGTAAACACACACTAAATGTGTTGGCTACAGTCCCACAGAACCAAGAGTTGTTCCAACTTATCTGTGATCAACCATTTCGTCGTGAGTTTTTAATTTTTGAAAATGTTTGACTTGTCATTACTCTCAGTAATGATTTGGTTTTGACCGTGTGAGCAGCTCCCCATAGACAATCCTTCAGGGAGCCGGAGTCCAGGTAAATCACAGGCACCGTGTGCACTAGCTGGGCTGCTGCCCAGAGGTTGTGGGGCGACTGTGTTTTCCCGGAGCAGGCCAATATCAAAGCCCTCGATCCAGAAGAGCCTGAAGCTACGAGCAGCCGACAGCTCTGATTGACAGAGCAGATGCAAAATGATTTTGTGAGAGAGACCAATACACTAATATTAAGTTGGCCTTTTTGTCTGTGTTTTGTTTGGCTTTGCGTCAGATACCTCTTAATTAATTAATATTTTTTATCAACAATCTTTCCACTGGAATTGTGAATCACACAGTGGCAGGAGTAAATGTTATAAAGAGTTCCCGGAAAGAGAGAGTGCATATCGACTTATATAGTAAAGGCCTACAGGGCAACGTACCTCAAACTGCCCTCCAAGAAACTGCAACAATTACAGTGATATTTTATCTTTGCTGCCATATTTAAACCTTTTGAAGTGTTTATTCAGTTGTAGGATTTAGGGGGGGGGGGGGGTATTGGCCGAAATTGAATATAATATTCATAACTATCTTTTCACTAATGAACAATCCCTTAATGAGTCATTTATATCTACATAAGGACTGAGTCCTCTTCACTAAGTCCGCCATGTTGCACCGCCATGTTTCTACAGTAGCCCAGAATGGACAAAACAAACACCAGCTCTAGATAGGGCCTTTCGCATGTTTACGTTACCTGAAGGCCCCTGTTGTCCTCTGACTTGGAAAGAGAGGGGTTAGTGGAGGGGTATACAGGTCGATGCAATCTGCAACTTCACACTACACACTGCTAGTTTGTGGCAAACATTACTCAAACAGCGGTGATAGTTCATTATCTATCTGTTTTGTCAGATGTGGCTTAGCCCCACCACAGCCCTATAGATGAACTCAAGTGGGCCTCCCTCTTCATGGACACCTCCCGTCATGTTCCAACTGTATTCATTTTAATTTTACAACTGGATTTTATTTAACTGTTGATGATATGAAAGTGGATATTGTCAAAATATTTCTTTCATTCAACCGAGCTGTTAATGTTTTGTTTTGGCTAAGCTTGCATTTTGTTGGCTGCAGCAACTAATGAGTGTGGCTGAAGCTCAAGGCAACAATCTACCCATAGCTATCTATTCCAACCATTTATTTTAACCTTTTCAACCATATATCATCACTATTAACTATTTATTTAACGTTTCGCCTATCCATTACTTTTAGATAGCTCGTCTGCATGCTTGCTTATCATTTTTACACCTTTCTTCATTGCAAGATATGCTCAGGTGTTTTAACGGACACCACATACATTTTTTGTTATTGAATCATTAGGGCACAGATAGCCTACCTCTGTTTGGGAATCACTGATCAAGAATTCACGTCAGGGCGTTGAAGCCCAAAGTGGAATTGACTGAAAGTAAACAGTGTCCGTGTTCATGGCAATGAAGGAACCCAGTGTGGCTCGCTGATGTCATTTTAACAGTTTTTGTGAAACAGATGTCAGAGAAAATGTAGTCGTAGTTGTTCTGACGGCAGACGAAGCGGAGGCAGGTGCTGCTGCGGAAGGCCTTCATGGCCACCTTCTGCCTCTCCCAGCTGGTGAACTCACTGCTCACGGTGAAGGGGATCATCACCAAGCCGTTGGGAGGCTTTCCTCCACAGAAAGTTCTGGGACCAGCACATCATGGTGTTTCCTTCCAGCAGAATCTGTGCCGTTGTTCGAGGTCAGAATCCTGATGGTGAGGTTGACGGTGTCTGGGCCTTCTTCTCCTCCTTCCTCCAGGAGAGGAAGTGCCTGAGAGAGGCCGAGCAGCAGCAGGCTGGCAGAGGAAGTTGTCTTCAGGGTCGATCTGGAGGCTTTGGAGCTGCTGTGGAGAGATTTCTTGAAGCTTGATGTGACTCAGTTCAGTTCAGGGTCTTTATAGTCTCCTCTACAGGTGTGTCTGCAGGAGGATTATGGGTTGGGGCCTACACTGCTAGACCTGCACAAACCTCTGAAGGGAGGACTCCACAGACCTATTTTTTAAACAGCATCTAATCCCCTAAAAGGTTGTTTTTTTGCCCATTTGTTCTCTTTGTGGGCCACATTGCTCCTCGTTAGCTACACTAAGCGCAGCTGGTTCTATTTCGCTTTCGTTTCCAAATGTCTTTTTAGCAACCTTTACCAAGGTAAATATGTTCAAATTAAATGTGTGTGACCCAAATACAGTTCCCTCACTTTCCGATGACCTGCGTAATTAAAATCCCCTGTGCACATTTTATGACAAGCTGTTGAAGTTGTAGCAAAAGCTGCGTGTCCCTCTGTGAGGATGATAGACGGCTTATTGAAACTCTTGCATATGTAGAAGATGGGAATAGGTTCCTGTGGGACAAGTTGCTGTGGCCGTGTCTGAGACTGCTCT